TTTATTTTCTGCGATAATTTTATCCACATATGCATATTAATGTTTTCAATGTTAATATGGTTGATAAATAATATATATATATATATATAATATATAATAATAATAATAATAATAATAATAATAATAATAATAATAATAATAATAAAGGTGCTCGAATAATGCTTTAGTGAATAATCAATAATACTTCAATAATGCTTCAATAGGCCTATTTACGATAGTGTGATTAATGAGATAATTGTTGATTATCTCAATTGATATAGAAATATAATAGGTAGGCATATAAACCATTAATAATGATTCAGCATATTAAATCAATATATATATATATATGTATATAATAATAATTATATATATAATTATTATTATAACTATAATAAAAACTATAAACTAATTATTATATGTTTATCGTCGCTATTTCCATGAACCGACAAATACGAAGATCGCGATTAAAAAAATATTACTTTTTGATGCCAATTTCTGACCTGAAAAATTCGTTGCAGGATTCTTATATTTATTATTTAAAACATATTAAATAAATTGTAGTTATAAGGCCACAATGTTTATATCAATCTATTAATTAATTAGTAATTAACTAATTTAAAATATTAATTAAGATTATATTAATTTAGATATTCGTAAAGTTCTTGTGATAATTTAGTTACATAATTGCAGTTTATTTATACGGCATTTCGACGGATATTCGTCACCTCGTGTGAACCATCCTGAGCTTTGCTTACCAAAAATACGCGGTAATCGCGCGATAGTATTAGCATTTGCATACATGAAAACACTTTGGCGATGCTTTTGTTTTTTGTTTTTGTTTTGTTTTGTTTTACATTTACATCCAGCGTTAGCCCCACTGAATTGTTTAAATGCTTAAATAATAGAAAACATTAGATTAAATTCTCATATAATTTACAATGAAACTTTATAATGTACTGTATTTTATAAGATTATTTTTTTAAACAGAATAAAATAGGTAACATTTTATTGAAAAAAAAAAACAGATTTTACATCTATAGACGTAAGTTGATTTAATATGCTGAATCATTATTAATGATATAGGCCTATACCTATTATATATTTCCATAAATTAATCAACAAATATCTCATTAATCACACTATCGCAAATAGGCCTTTTGAAGTATTATTGAAGTATTATTAATTCTTTATTAAAGCATTATTCGATCACTTTCATTATTATTATTATTATTATTATTTTATGTATTATTTATCAACCATACTAACATTGAAAACATGAATTATGTGGATAAAATTATCATAGAAAATAAACTTATAATTTATAAGATTGTTTTTTAAAAACAGCAGAATAAAATAGATAACACCTTTATTAAAAAAAAAAAACAGGTTTTGCATAGACGCAAGTTGATTAAATATATGCTGATTCATCTCCTTAATTAAACAATTTTTATTCATTTCGAGCACTGTTATTATTATTATTATATTAATATTATTATTATTATTATTATTATTATTATTATTATTATTATTATTATTATTATTATCATTATTATTATTATTACTACTATTTTATTTTAAATTGTTGTTGTTTTATTTTTTTGTTTTATGTATGGGCCTAGATATAGGC